CTGACATATTCAGAGGCAGATGCTCACAGCTAACCATTGAACTGATCAAGGGGTTCCCAATGGAGGAGTTAGAGAGAAGACTGAAGGAGCTAAAAGGGTTTGCCATCCCACGGGCAGAGCAACAATAACAACCAACCAGAGCTCCCATCGTCTAAACCACCAGCCTAGGAGCACATAGGGAGGGACCCATGGCTCCAGCTGTATATGTAGGGGAGGATGGCTTTGTCGGGCATAGGTGGGAGAGGAAATCCTTGGTCCAGTGAAGGCTGGATGCCCCAGTGTGAGGGAATTAGAGGGTGGGGAGGTGGGAGTGGGTGGGTGGGTGGGTGGGGGCACATCCTCATAGAAGCAGGAGAAGGGGGGTGGGATAGGGGGTTCCTAGGTGTGAAGGTGAAATGGGGAAAGAGGATTACATCTGAAATGTAAATAAAATATCAAAAAAAAAAAGCCTTATAGCCATGGTGGTGTGCATTGGTGGTGTATGCCTTTAATCTCAGCACTTGGGAGGCAGAGGTAGGCAGATCTTTGAGTTCAAGGTCAGCCTGATCTACAAAGCTAGATCCAGGATAGCCAAGCTAGACAGAGAAACCCTAACTCACCCCTGCAACTCCCCCTCCAAATGCTATACAGCCTGATCTTCTGGAGGCATTTTCTCAGTTGGGGCACCCTCCTCTCTGATGACTCTGTGTCAAGTTGACATAAGACGAGTCACCATAGGGCTATGACTGGCTTATGTTCCCTGTGCTACAAGAAAAAGGTTGAGCGGATGTTTGATCTAACAAGCAAGGAAGAGGTCCGTCACTTACAAAAAGAGTGGCAGAGATGGGGACATCTTACTCTGGGCTCCTGAACTCTTCCTTGCTTTTCAGTGATACCACACCGGTGTCCTGAAATTAACTATCTGAGCACACTTGGGCCATGGCAACTGGTGAAGGCTCCAAACCAGAGCTTTGCCTCAGAGATGTGGCTGTTGATGGTTCGTCATTACCACACTATGGGTGAACAAGGATGATAAGCATTCTCCTGAGGTACAGGGTGACTCAAGGGGGTCAGGACTCATCTGGTGGAGTCAAGAAAGCAGAGCTCGTGCTGAGGGCTGGGAGGCACAGATGCTTGCTGGGAAGACAAAGAAGTAAAGGGGCAGCCCAGGCAGATGTGTGAGATAGCACACCATGTCCCATGTTTCTGGAGGAAACTGGATATGTAGGAGCTTGGAGTTAGCAAAGGGCATTTATTACATAAATTCAATACAACACTGGGGTCAGGGAGAGAGTTCACCCTTTGTTCTTTGGCTGGATTGGTTCCCAGAGGATTTCAAATGTGGCTTAACTAGGCCTTTCTCCAGCTCCTAGTAAAAGGGAAGCTAGACCTTGGCAGGCTGAGGGGGCACCTGGCATAAGGAAGAGAGTTGCTGGGAATACTCTAGGCTGCCAGCGAATTGGAAAAATGGTTAACAGCAGCACAGAGATGCTGTGGGAATTGGGAGCAGGGATGAGGGTCAGATGCCCATGGTTCAGATCCGTTACCCATGTGATGGCTGGCAGCACCCCTCAAAGCCTATCCAGTCAGCCTTTGGGCCAGATGGGACCTGGGACCTATGGGTGCTCAGTGACCCTCTGCCGTTAACTGACCAATCTTTCTCCTCAGTGTCACCAGACTTCTACTCTCGGCCTGTACTACACTGTCCCAAAGGTTCTGAAGGAGATGAAGGTAACCCAGCTGTCTGGGCAGATGGAGTGGTTAAAGCTAGGACCATCAGGATCTGGAAACCACCCTTTGATAGGCATAGACCTGTTATCATGGTTGTTTTTTTTTTTCTTTTGTTCTGGGAAATGACCACAGGGCCTCATTTCCCTGACAATCACTGCCACCAGTCCCGAGGCCTTGGGAACCTAGGCTTCACAGATGGTCACTGTGAAGAGACTAGCCACAAGCTGACCTTAGCTAATCTGCCATTCACATAGTTGGGAATAATTCATAAAAGGAAGCTGAAACTGAGTGAATTCTAATAAATGCTATTGTTCGGCCCGTTCAGTGGTTACTAAAACATGCTGGGGGTGGCTGTTCCGAAGTGGAACACCGTGGTGTAAGCAAGAGACATTCCATAAGTTCTGGGACTCTAGAGAACCCTGACTAATACAGGACCCAACAGCAAAACAGGATCATGAGGCTTGGCTTCCACAGCAATAGGAGGATCATTTGGTGGTTCCGAGGTTGTCAGGCCAGAGAGTGGTACCTAAGGAGGCAGCTACCGCTGTCTTCAAGCATGCAGGGACAGGCCTCGTACAGTGGTCATCTGGTGCTTTGGTGTTCCCACTGGCAGCCTTTCTGACCACATGCTGCATATGTGGCAACAACCTAGGTCCGGAGCAGAGAGCTGACCAGCCTCAGCAATGGAAAAGCTAGATTGAGCATGGGGAGCTCCCTCTGGGAGTGAGGGGCTCAGAAGAGCTCAGCCCTGCTCCGGGATCACACCCACTGCAACAGGGCCACCCACACTGCTCCAAGCTCCTCTTTCCCTACAGTTTTGTTAGGCAGATGGCTGAAGTCACCTGTCAGGTGTGAGCCTGGAGAGACTGTGTTCACCTCACGCTGTCCCATCATTTCCCCCGGCAGTGGCTATGTGGGAGGACCACCCATCCTCACAGACCTTTCCGGCTTACCCTCAGTGCATTCCTAGCAGACTCGCTAGGTTAATCCACTCGCTACCTCCCCTCAAGATCTTTGTGGGAAGAACTGACCTCTTTCCCACAGCTTGAACGTGAGGCCGATTTCCAGGCTGGTTACTCTGCCTGCACAGTGGTCCACCACGACTACTGCAAGAACATAGGTTGAGCTGTGTTCCAGGAACAGCTGGAATTCCTACCGACTCTTTTAAGATGCCTGCTGCAGGGGTGTTAACCCAACAAAGAAACAAATCAGAGAAGCTGAGTGACATGGCCCGGGATCTGACAGTAAGCAATGGAGCCGGTTCAAACCCAGCTCAGTGTGATTTAAGACTGGAGACTTCCCCCTTTGGAAGCAGACACAAAGTAATTGTCATTTATCATTTATTTTCACATACATTATTTTGTTTGATCCTCACAACAGTCCTGTGAGGTAGGTAGGGTTATGTATTACTATATGCCCATTTCACAGATGAAGAAATGGAGGTGGCTCAGTGAGGCGAGTGACTTGTATAGTCACATAGTATGTTAGTGGCTCGACACGTTTTGTACTTGCCCTAGGGTCAGGCCGAGTTAGGAAGCACCAAAACAGATGGAGAAAGCAAAGTTTTATGGGGAGAAAAAGGGGGGCAGTGTTGATTTCTGAGGTTTCATCCTTGACTTACTTGAATATGATCACAGATCTGCTTGTCCTGATTGGATTATCTGAAGAACTTTCCAGAGTACCACTGGTGCAGTGGCTCAAGACAGCCACATAGACTCCTGAGTCCCAGTATAGGGAGAGAAAGGCCTTTATTGCCTCAGGACCAAGTTTTGCCTCTAACGTTATAAACACCCCACTCACAAGGGGTCACTATGGAAGTCCTTTGCTCTGTCTGCCTGTGGATGCCAGCTCCAGGCTTCCCTAGCTGTGTCTGGAGCGCTCTTCGGGTGGGGGCTGTAAGACACTCACTGCTAGTGTCACTCCAGGAATGGATCACAATGTGCAGTTTAGAGGTCCACAGGGCCCCTCACCTGCTGGGAGAGTAGTGTCTGAAGTTTATGTCCTTAATGTATCCCAGGAAGGCCCATAGGTAGCTAGGACTGGATAGTATGACAGGGAAGACTGCTCTCTCAAGAGAAGTGGCGGGGGGGGGGGGGCGGAGACGTTTACTCAGGGGCCCTGGGATTACCCAGCACTCCTGTACTGCTTGTGGAACAGTTTCCCAAAACCCTAGAGCTCCTCAGTCAGTGACCTTCTTCTAGCCAGAAGTAACTAGGGGCATGCTGAGCCATGCTGGTAGGAAGGCTGATGAACTGGGGGCTGAGAACAAAGGGAAGTCCTATGAAAGATGTGTGGCTTACAAGGATGGCAAGGAGCTGACTCTGCTAAAGACAAGTTGCAAATCAGTTCTGAGTAATGATACCTTCAGTGTCTAGTCAAAGCAGGGACACACAGCTGTGTGTAAAGGAAGTTCTAACAACAAGACCTAGTACAGGACAGATTTGGGGACAATACTGAAAGAACTTTCTAATAGCCAGCACTGCTCAACCATAGCAGGGACTGCCTTGGGGACAACGGACATTCTGTCACCGGGATATGCCAGCTGGCATAAAGAATCCCTTGGGGATACTCAAGAAGAGGCACTCACCGCTATGTACTGGGGTGTCCTAGAGGAAGGGGAAGAACTAAGAAACTACCGGATCATTTTCCAACCCTGAGAGTTTGTAATGTATTATTGGTTTAAACTGACTGGTGTCAGTGATGCTTGCAATCCATGTGGCAAGGACTACGAAAGTCAAGCAACAGCTGGATCATAAAGTGTCTTCCATCTTCTTGGCTTCAATACCATCACATCTTTGCAGGGGAAACAACCAATATCTGAAGCCAAGAATCCTTCAGCCTTGTCAGGAGGGGCACCCCCTTCTGCCTAAGCCTGGACACTCACTCACGCTATGGCTCAACTTTCTCCCTGAGTGGAGTCACAAAGGGTTCTAGGAACATATTGCATTCTAAAACACCCAAATATAGTTGCCTTTGGGAAAAGGTGTCCTGGTGCCTGGGTGCATCCTCAGAGCAAAGAACAGGAGTGATCTGATTTGCTGAACATGTTGTTGCCTAGGAAACTAAAAGGAGCCTCTAGGTCCCACTCTACCCCTCAGCAGCCAGGGCTCTCTCTGGAGATGGGTTAGCAGGGCACTGACTAGTGGTAGGTGATAGCCCATAAGAAAACTGCTGCTCTTTGTCCAAGCCAGAAAGTCTTCCCGTGGGCTCCTGTATGTTTCAGCTGACTTTTAACTTGTCATCACGAGCTACCCATCACCAGTTCAAAATGGCAAGAAAAGGTGGTTCTGTTCCAAGGACATGTGGATTCCAGAAGGTGGACTTTGTCATGGGGAATCAGGTCCTGCTATGCAATTAATACAGATTAGTATAGTTTCCCGCCTGGTGCCACTGGCGAGACACTCTCCTCAGAGCCTTGGCTGACATGAGCTTCTTGGGAACTCCTTCCCGTATGACTAGAGTCTTTTCACCTGTATCGGATTAACCGAATGATCTTATTGTTCATAAAGTCCAGCGCATGTGGATGGGAGGGGTCAATGCAGAACCCATCACTCAGCGCGATCTTCAGCACCTCCTCCACAAAGACCTGGAAGCTGTTGATCTGCTTGTTGGCTGGCACCACCCACAGCCTTTTGAGGTTCTGCTTGGTGTACTCTTCCTCTGGGAGGCCTTCCACATTGGCCACCCAGTCAAGAGTCAGGTGGTTAGGGTCCTGCAAGTGGCTGGTGATGGAGGAGAGGTTACCATTGGAGCAGTAGAAGAGCTTAGAACCAAGGAGCTTGAGGAAGAGGCAGGATGTGCTGAAGATGTTGGCGTTGAACACCTCCATGCTGGAAGACGACAGGCTGTAGATTTGTGGTGCCTCCCGCACGGTGAAGTGGACTGTTTGCACCCGCTGCTTCAGTGTGATGTTGAGCATGGCGTTCTTCTCCGCTTTGGAGAGTTCTACCTCCTTTTCCTGCAGGGCCTCAATCAGGGGCTGTACCTGGTAGAAGTCAGCTTCCCTGCGGAGCAGACCCATCTCCTGGAAGTCCTCTGGCAGATCCAGGTGGGAGGTCCGCAGGAAGTTGAGGATGTAGCGGAACACTTTGCCATCACGGTCAATGAAGCAGTTACCATGGCTGTCCCTCTTGGTGGGCATCTTCCCACTGAACATGGCACCCAGCATTGAGTCAGGGAAGCTGGTCAGGGTTGCCAGTGACGTTGTGTAGAGCTTACCCCCAACGTTCAGTGTAATGGGGTCAGACATGGTAGGAGGCTGGGTTCCTGGAAATAGTTCTATATGGATAAAATGAGAAATTATTATTACCCAACCATAGCGACACAGTCTGAGTCCATGACTCCCAATTATAGATGAAGCCCACAGTGAGGGCAACATGGACTAGTGGCTGGGGAATGGCTGATAACTGCGTGCTATGTAAAGCATGTTAAATTCACAAGGGAACACACACACTTGCACACACAGCCTGTGTCTGAGTACTCAGAGGAATCTTTGAAAAGCTTCCTTGGTGATTTCAAATGTTCAGTGAGGCAAGAGAGCCACTGGTCTATGGAAGAAAGGAAAATGTGTCTGGGACAGAAACTCCTTGAATTTTTTAAATGAATATTAATTTGCATACATAACAGTCCTATCATCTTTGACACAGACAATGTCATTATCCACCCCGATTGCAGATGAGGACAGCTAGGCCAGGACTTATTCCTGGCGTAGAGAAGTGAGTGCTTTTTGATTCAAACTCAAGTCCCTAGCTGGAGAGTTCTAGTCTTTGAAGTACTTAACCAATGCTGTATGATTGGGGTCAGTACTCTCACCACATCAGTGCCGATCTGAAGAGATTTATTATTATTATTATTGGGTTTTTTGTTTTTGAGACAGGGTTTCTCTGTGTAGCCCTGGCTGTCCTGTAGACCAGGCTAGCATCGAACTCAGAAATCTGCCTGCCTCTGCCTCCCAAGTGCTGGGATTAAAGGTGTGAGGCACCACCGCCCGGCTATTTTTTTCTTTCTTTCTTTTTTTTTTTTTTTTAAATTTATTTATTTATTTTATTGATGAGTACACTGTAGCTGTCTTCAGACACACCAGAAGAGGGCATCGAATCTCATTACAGATGGTTGTGAGCCACCATGTGGTTGCTGGGATTTGAACTCAGGCCCTCTGGAAGAGCAGTCAGTGCTCTTAACCGCTGAGCCATCTCTCCAGCCCTATTTTTTTCTTTCAAATTACAAATAGTTGTAACTAGAGCCATTTCCTATCTACCAGAACTATCATGGATCTCTTAATTTTTGGCCTCCAAATGATAATCTTTTCTGGACACACCCCCCTCCCACCATACCAACCCACTCTGTCATGTTTTCTGGATCCCCTCCCTCCCCCACCTCACCAACCCACTCTGTCATGAAGATGCTCGTCTCGCTGCTCAGCTATTCCCAGCTGCGTTGCTTCCTGCAGGTGCTTTACCCTTGGCTGGAGATGGCTCAGCAGTTAGAGCATTCATTGCTCTTGCAGAGGACTGGGGCTCAATTCTCAGCAATCTCATCGGGGGCTAACTGCCTGGAACTCTAGTCCCAGAGCATCTAATGCCCTCTTCTGGCCTCTGAGGGCACTACATGCATGTGACGCACAGACATACATGCAGGCACAATATTCACACATATGCAACGAAAATAAAATATTTTTGAAAGATAGTAAAAACACTCCTCACTGCCTTACAGCCTCCAGCATCTAGGACATTAGCTTTCTTTAACTGGAAGCCTTGGGTCTAAAATCTGCTTAAGGTTCTAGAGAGCATGAGTTCTCTAGAGTATGTACATCCTCTCAGGTTCTACAGGAAACATGTAGAATGGCCCAGAAGCTTTACCCTGACAGTGGAGGTAGGAAACCATGAGAAATAAGCCTCAGTTCTGCCCTACAGAAGAACCCATGCTGGTGGAGTGGGGGGAGGGCAGACAACAGACAGGGAGGGTGTGCTGACAAGACAGATGTGTGAGAGCCAAGGGGGAATGAGTCCTGGCAGGTCAGAGAATATCCTGCTAAGCATACCTACTGCCCAGACAGGGAGATGAGTCCATGGAGGTGTGGGGATGGGAGCAGTGGCAGAAGACACTTCTCTGTATGTCTCTATTTGAAGAGGGTATCTACTTGAGACCCAGATCTCTATTTGAAGAGAGTATCTACTTCTCTCCAGAGATGGAGGCAGGATGGACAAAGATGCTCAGCTGCTTTGTGCATCTGGGTGGGGGAATGTCCCCTTTCAAGTCCTTCTCAGTCTAATGGGGCGTTTTGATACTGCAGAAAAGCATTAACCATCTGGAGTGTCTGAAGAGCAACCAGCCCACGGTGAAGTTACAAAACTCTTGGCAGAAGCATGGAACAGATGGGCTGTGAGACACTGGGGAGGTCCAACAGAGCTGGGTGGGCAAGTAGCTGCGGAAGGGGCGGGGCCAGCGTCTGGGAAGAGCAGCTGGGAGGGGTGCTTGGGCTCACAGTTGAGTCAGGCACAGGCAGGACCCAGGACTGGGTCACCTTTACTCTGAATTAAATAAACTACCCTAGACTCTTCTTTCTTTTCTTTCCCATTCCCGAACTCTGGTCTCCACTTTTTCTTTTTGGACAACAGAAGTGTATATTTTAGTGTTTTTATCCTTGAGAAATGTCACCCTCTCCCCCAATCCTGCCTTTCTAAAACACTGGACTTCAAGGCTAGGCTTTGTGAAGTAGTTTAGCTCCACAGGCTCAAGGATTCTATTTCCAGAGAGTTCTGTGGTCCAAAGACTCCGTATCTCCTCCAGGTGTTAGTGCAGAAGTGTCAGGTGGGGAGATCTTTGGGTGATGCCTAAACACTTTTCTCTGCTTGCAGAAGGTAGCAGAGTATGGCTTCAGGACTATCTGTCCTTTGTCTGGGGAAGGCAATAGTTTTAGTTTATAGGAGTAGAGGCAGACTAAGGAGGCAGGCCTCCTGCTCTAACCTAGGGAGCCCTCTATGGGTCTGCTACAGAGCCACTGTGAACTCCTCTTGGCTACCAGCTGCTGAGGTCAAGACCTGGGAGGCTGCCTGGATTCTTCAGAACTACAGTGTGTCTTGAAACCATTTATATAAGAACTGCAGGAACTGCCTGCACAGGTCTTTTCCCTAGTCTGTACCCTACAGCTTTCCTTGGCTTTGTCTTTGGTCTATTCTTTCCTGGTCCCTAGGCCAGACTTTCTGGAAGCGCTGTTCCCTATCCAAGCCACTTTGTCCTTCCACTCTCCCCACAACCCCACCTCTCTCTACATTCACCTCACCCACCACCCCCGCCTGCTACCCATTCCCTTTCTCCCTCCATCTTTTCTACTGTCAATGTTTAAGGCCTGAACTAGGAGCCAGTTTATCTGTAAGGCTCTGCCCAAATTCCTACTCTCTTCTCACTGGGCATGGTGGTCCATACGTTTAATTCTAACACATAGGGAGGCAGAGACAGGAGGATCTCTGTGAGTTCAAGGGCAGCCTGTTCTACATAGCAAGTTCCAGGCCTGCTAAGGTTACACAGTGAGTTCCTGTCTAGACAAACTCTCTTCTGAGGGCTTCAATCTTGCCCAGTTTGGTGGTTCAATCTCTGAAATCTTTGCTAGTTGAGAGCTAAAGCAGAAGAATTATAAGTTTAAGGCTAGGACAGTCAACTCAGTTAAGTCCCTGTCTTACAATAATGAAAAAAAAAAAGGGCCAGGATAGAATTCATTAGAAGAATGCTTTCTTAGCATGCAGAAGACCTCAGTTCAATCCCCAGTACTGGACAAAAGGTCCTCTTGCCTCTCACCACGTCTAACCCTTTCTCTAGCATTGCAGAAGAGCTGATGAGCTACAGGTTTTATTAGACTGTATACACGATGCTTAATTTTCAGAAGAGCAATGCATTTGTCTAGGGAATTACAGGTATTATTCCCAAGGGGCTGAAGCAGTTTAGGCCAAAGATAAAAAGACACACCCTGGGTGAGGAGAAGCCCTGTCTGCAGGAAGCCTTCCCACCCATGTTTCCAGGAATCTTTTTCCCCTGTCTATAAGAAGCCCTTTCGTCTGCCGAAGCTCCCGGGATGGCCTATCACGATCTCAGAGTTTCAGCTCTTGAATAAACCCTGCCTTTCTTCTCACCACGTCCTTGTCTCACAAGTATTGGCTTTTGAGAGGTGAACATGCTCAGTCTTGGAACAGAAACAACACAAGTCCCAGACATGCCGGTGTAAGCCTGTAATCCCAGCAGTTGGGAAGTGGAAGATTACTGTTTGATACCAGCTGTTCTATGGTAATTTCCTGTGAGATGAACAATCCATCTTGGAAGGAAGGTCTAGATTGGAGGGAAGCTCACTAAGAGGCAGGATGTTAAAACTGACGTGATCAAAAGGATGTTCTAAGGGGAGGTAAAACATTCTATCCTGTAGGGAAGCTTGCAAAGCTCTCCAAATAAATAATTCCAAAGCTCCAGGAAGTCCCTGAAACTGACTCTGTTCACTAGGCCTCTCCGTTTTCAATGATATAAAACAAGGACTACAGAGAGGTCCTCCCTGACAAGCCAAGCTGCCTGGAGGAGGCTCAAATCACATGGGCCGCCTAAGATCATTTCCAACCTCTCAAGCTGCCCGACAGGTTGTGCAGTGGGCTTCAGCTTTTTGTGAGCCATCACACAGGGCTCTGGATAATGCAGACGTCTTTGAGTCATTTCTGCTCCTGTAATAATGCTAATAAAACTCACTGGTTCATCACATTGGACTACAGTGCTTTCCTATCTAAACTGAGTAGATGAAAAAGTGTCACACAACACCAGTCTAGGCTGCTAGCAGGTTCTAGGTCAGTCTTGGCTTTATAAGACTCTTGTCTCAAAATCTCCCAAACCAAACCCAAATCAAAGAAAAGGTAACAGCACAAAGAACTATTTAGCACCATTACCCATTAGAGGCATGGAATTAAAACTGCCATTGTACATCTACAAAAATAAAAGTGCTCAATTCTCAACGCTGGTGAACACACAGCAGTGGACTGTTGGTAAAACAAGCAGTGTGCTACTGCTAAGAAGGCAAGGATGGTTCTGCTGCCATATGACCAAGTGACTCCACTCCTGCAGAGGGGAAGCTGTGTGCTCATGGAGCCTGCATAGGAATGTCTAACAAAACTTTACTCACAGTGGCTGAAATCCAGAAACTACTAAAACATAAACAAATTGTGCTACAGTTATATAACAGAGTATGACTCAGAACATTATATAACTTTTACACACACACGCACGCACACACGCACGCATGCATATAT